TTCTACCTTTCACAGAAGCGTACAAAACACACACACACACACACACACACAAAACACACACACAAACACACACACACTCAGTCCTGAGCTGACAAGATACAACATGGCACAGCCAATGGGTGATTTCTTACACTCTGAACTGTGTGGAGACTAACAACAGGTCCAGTGTCTTAGAGTTTAGACAGGGAGGGATTACACCTAGATTTGCAGGATTACACCACAAGGGCTCTGAAACAGCAGAGCTCAACGATCCAAAGGAGGAATGTACAAGTATGTGCAGTGTGGCTTTATACATTTAGATCATTTTAGAATCACAAATTCTCTGTAACAGTCTCTTGTGCCATCATGTGTACAGACGTTTGATTAAGATGTCCAAAAAAAAACACAAATAAATGACTACATGTATTATGTGTCATCTTCAATCTCTGGTGATTTATTAAATAGACTTACTTCAGTGTCATGACTCCTTAAAGACAACTGGATGTTTACAGCCCTCCCATCACAGGCTTAGGGGTTATTCAGGTTGACAGGCTGTAAACTTTAATCAGTATTTCAAAGTAAATACAACCCAGGAACAAGTTTGTGTAGCAGATTTAGTGACACCCCAAAATAATTGCTTGAGCCAACTGATCTATACACCTGCCGACTGATGTAAACTACAGAATAATGGGAAATATATTGTTAATAACAATTATACCAATAAAAAAGCACAGTGTATCACAAGTCACTCCTGAAAACCTATCTATTAAGATCGCATTTTTCTTGGTTAAAAGGCCCCAATCTATGAATAACGGCGCATATGATGGTGTGTTCTTTATACTCTGACAGGTTTCCTAGAATTAGGAATTGCCTCGCATACGGTATCACAATATATCGCAATATATTCAATTATAACCCTTGTATTGTGATACATATCATATCGCCAGATCTTGCCAATACACAGCCCTAGTATCTATACTATCATGTATATAATGGCCCAATTTCCAGTGCCAGCTGATATATTTTCCGTCATATGCTACTGTAGCAATCTAACAAGCCAACACACACAAAAATCGATATACCAGCAAACATGCTGCTGCGTTCAAACACTGTGTCAGCATGCCACCAATATAAACATCTCTCTCTCTCTCCTCTACAAACGCCGTGGGCTTGACAACAACAGATACTCAGAAAAAGAAAGCTGTGATAAGATACTGTAGCTACAGCACATTAAAATGAAGATCTAAGTGTTCATTTGATAGATGATATGGTCATTCTCTTTTAAGACAAAGTTGGAGGAAATATGGAGCAGGTCAAAGGGAAAAGGGACCAACAACACAGCACGAACTATCTCATCAGTCACTATTACCACTGGCAGTGTTGAAAATCCCTTAACACCTCTATCTCTAGTCGCCAGAGGCCCCTAGTTTATATAGGCATCCTTCCAGCAGTGCAGGGGGAAAAAATCCCATTAACGCTTTTGCAAAGCTAACTGGCAGCAAGCTGCAAAAGCCTTTTGATCAGATCAATGGCCTTCATTAAGGTTTAATTAGAGTCATAACAAGAAGCCCCAAGGTGATAGATTTCCAATATTGTTGAGTGCTACCTAAAACAGGGGTCAGAGTCAAAGACAAGGACTAGAGGGAGAGAGGAAGGAAGAAGGAGAAAGTGATGAATGAGGCACAAACGGCGGGTGTGATTCAGAAATGGAACATAATATGAGCTTAGCGTGTGATTGGAATGAGTGCAAGAGGAAAGTGGAGACCAAGGAGGACATTGACAAATGATGACGAATGCCCTTCTCTCCTCTTTTTCCCCTCTCTAATCCTTATCTCACTCTCCTCTCTCCTCCGTTTCTCAGACCAACAAGGCATCGGCTCAGGGGGATTTCCAGGGGGCAAACGCAGCGTCTCGACAGGCTCTGTGGCTCTCAGTGCTTTCCATTGTGTTTGGAATCATAACGTACATCTGTGCCATCGCCGCGTTGATTTCCTACCTGTCCGGAAAACCACCATAAAAGCAACTCTTTCGCACATTTCATGAATCCCAACACATGCCAACATATCACCTGTAAATGTAAAATGTATCACAGTCTTTGTCTGTCAACCCTGTCTGCAGTCATGTTTTATCTACACACCAAGCTGGAACAGCAGAGAAGAGAGTGAAAACACAAAAGGAAAGCTGGTGTATAGATCACAATCACTTCTAATTGGATTAGGACACGATTCAGCTCGGAGGACATTCCTCGCATGTGAACAAAAAAATAATTGAAAACGAAAGTATCACTCCATATAGAAGATTAAGTCTGTAAATGTGATTTATTCTGTCACCCGAGGACTTAAGTTACCCGCCATCATTTAAATCTGTGCTGTAGTCGTCATCACGTTAACCATTTAATGTAGTAAAAAAAAAAAAAAAGAAGAAAAAATTGTGACAAAAAAATGCAGATGTTAACTCAACACTGTCGATATCACTGTCACAATAACAACGGATGAATAATGAGAAGCAGAAACAGAAGATATGTGGCCTCGTCTGCCTTGAAGGAGGTGAGCGGAGAGCAGAAAACAACGATGGAGTCGGCAGATTTATGAGAAGGTCACAGCAAGGACGTAGCAGCGGCGAAATCCTGATGGACATCGCTTTGTCTGAGGGCCTGAGCCAGCACTGTGGTTGGTGGTTGCTGGTGATGGTTTCAGAGCCCCAGAGCTTTATTTTTAAAAAACATATATGAGGGGCCAGAAGCCATAACCCAGAATTCCTTGCTACTCCTCCTCATAGGGAAACACATGTATCAACCCAGCTTGATTTCATATTCAGCTTCACTCATTGTTTACCTGCAGAAAAGACTCTTTCTGCTTCGTTTATGCCAAGTTGAATAAGTATCTTTATGTTGAAATACACACAAAAAAAGGTAAATAAAAATACATTAGTGCCATTATATAAGGAATTAAATATAAAAAATTAGGAGTTCGGGAATTTTCGAATGAAACGCAAGGTCGTGATGTGAAACACTGGCTCTAGATATAGAAATAAATGAGCTGCTTCTATATACAGTGATAGGAAATGATGACACAGACAGAGGGGGTGCAAGGAAAAGTGCCAAAAATACAGAAGAAACTCTTAAGGATGATCCTTTTATGAGCTATTCCATTAATAGAAGCAACCAGGCTGCCACTCCACGCTCCCCAAATATAGATTCTGCTATTTTCTCCTCCAGAACGAGGACTGAAATCCTGCAGGAGCTTGCTTCTTGCACAGTGTGACAAACTGTTGGAAGTCGTCTACCTAAACATATGTAAAGATGCCCTTTGTTCAGATGAGCAGACAGGTAAAAAATAGTCTAAGGAAAACATCTAGTGCTCAGCCGTGTGATGCATGAGTCAGTAAAATCTCTATTTTGGTCTCAACAGAAACCTGCATGGTGAGTTTTGGAGTTTGTCATGTACAAACCTGCTCCAAGCTTCATTCACTTCCTTTATTTGATCCTGAATTATTGCATAAACTAGCTTTGATGAAAGAAAACCAACTCTGGCCATATTGGTTTGAGCTTAAACGTGCCATTGATACAACTGTGAACAAGGGAACTCCAAGTAAATATTTTAAAAAATGACTGTAGGGTGAAAGTTGATATTTTCTATTTAGATGTATAGTTTTTATAGAGTCAACAGCCAAACTACAAATAACTCAAATACTTTTGTTTTCTGCAAACCCAGTGTAGTATCAAGCTGATAATAGATTACGGTCACTGTATGTGGTATTTGTAGACACACCTGTGATATCTCAGTGTCGAACCCTCGTCAGCTATCACTGTGATACTGCTGCGCACACAGTGTTCTGACAATCCTGAACCACCGTGTCTCCACTGTCGATGAAAAACTGACCCTTCGTTGTTACAGCTGAGTTACCACAATTAGTAATTTTATTCATGTGGACTGCCTTGACTGATGCTGTCATGAGATGGGCTCTGGTCAGATTTGTCTCACTTGTATAAAGATAAAACCTGGACGCAGTGAAGTGGACAATAAAGGTCAAAAGGTTGTGGCAAATGAGGTTTATTAGTACAAGAGATATTCAGTTATTACCCAGTTCACACCCTTGTATTACATGTAAATATTAAACTGAGAGAAAAAACAATAAATCCCAATAAATGCACTTGTTTGACATTCATCTTCCCTCTTTTTATTCTGCACCCTCACTGACAGTTCACAATGTGGTCTCACTTCACCCACAGCACAGCTCGCCACAACTGAATTGAAGCAGATTCATTTCTTACAAAATCAGTACTTGTATACGTTGTTTTTTTAGAAAAAGAAAAGGACTAGAAAAAAAAAAAAAAAAAAAAAAGCGCTTTCTTCTTCATCAGAGGGTTTTGGAGTATCGCCGCCGGACAGAATCTCTGTAGAACTGAAAGATCTTCTCTGAGGCTTTCTGACTGACTGCTATACACTGCTGCAGCTGTGCAAGAACAAAAACAAGAATCAAACATGATCCTAGAAATAGGAAACGTCTGTAATAAGGAGATAGAACCGGAAAAAAACATCTCGTCGTTGACCTGAAGCAGATCACTGACATAGCTCGCTCTAATTGTGGAAATTACACATAATAAATCTGACAATGTTGCAGCGTTTCCTGGAAAACAAAATAATTTGATCTTTTATTTACTGACCTCGTGAACTGAAAATGATCCTTTGGTTAATGACATCAATACTTTGCGATCTTTACTGTCAACGGCAAAGGTCATCAAAGCTCGACTTTCCTGGTGAGAGTGAAAACGGACAAGAACAGACATTAACAAATTCAGCGAGGATAACGGCAGTGCTGACTGTACTGAAAGAACATGCAAATACTAAGTGACAAATTCAGTTACATATCATCAATCTGCGATGTTTGTTTGGATCCACTTCCCTTCCTCATCTGACTATTTCAGTTAGACCCAAAGTGTCTTTTGACATCTCCAAAAAAAGGCCTGAACCTGCGAGTTTCACCAGGTTTAGACAAAGTGAAATCCACAGTTTCCCAGCTGAAAGTTAGAATGATGTTCTATTAAATGCATGAAGTGTATGATATAAAGAAGAGGCGTACAAAACCCATTTCACAATGAAATGTGAAATGTTTGAGAGCAAACACATATGGAATTGACGAGAATAAATCAGACTGAAAAGGTATATTAAATCTGTTTTAAGGCCGTTTTTCTACAAATCCAATGCTTTCAAATGTCCTTTTTATTCTTGAACAATAAAACTGAAGGTATCAATACAATATATGCAAATGCCAGTCACTCCTGTCAGCGCTTACATAAGAAAATCGGCTCCTCTCAGCTGATCCTTTTTCTATGTGTGATTTATTCTGTCCCCTGAGGTGCTTTGGGCAACACAACACAACACAAGAGCCTCAGATTTACCTTCTCCTGAGCTGCAGTGGGGTCTGTGATGATTTGACCATCTGTGTCGATGGCACAGGTCACTCCACAGAACAGGCAGCTCATAGGCAGACCCGCATCCATAAGAGCCATACAGGCCGCATTCAAACAGCAGGACAAGAGCTGAGGAACAGGTAAGGAAGCACACTCACCAAGAAACACCATCAGGACACAATCTACCAAGTTAAAATTAACTTTACAGCAAAAGGCAGCACAGTTTTACTGAAGGATACCGAACCATCGTCGTGTATCACCTGAAGAATGAGAGTGAGCGAGGAGCGAGGATGAAGCGTCAGGAGCAGAGATGCCTCGCAGGTCTCTCGCACACACTGCTCTTGTGATCGCTCCCTTACACCTAGAAAATAAATAAATGTTGGCATACATACTCGATTCAGACTCGAAACCAACGCCCCTCACTTATTCCACCCAGTGGTTTGTTGTGGTATGGCCCGTAGAACCACAGCAGAAGTGGTCAGGACTGTAAAATCAACAGTTACCAGCCTCCCCAAAACCCCAAAGTTCAGTGTAAACGTCCTAATTTCCCCCAAATAAGCTTCTAGAAACATTTATTTATTTGTGAGCTGCAGAACAATATATGTCCTGTACTGTGTTAAATATTCAAACTCACCATGTTTCATGTTTGCACCTTTACATCAAATGAAAAGTAACACATGTCTATATGAATATCTCCCCATGTATCTCCCTGCTCTACTCAGTAGTACGTCTTTAACAAAGCTGTAAAGTGCTAGAAAATTAAAGATTTAAGATTTAAATTGCCGCATTGGAACAACCTTCAAGAGCTGCATTACACTCCCTGTACACAAATCAAATAAAGCTGCACAGAGAANNNAGAGAAATTATTTACTTACTTGGCAGGCCTACTTTGGGCTGTATCAACACCTCCAGAGTTGCCCGGTCATAGATTTCCTTGCTGACTTTGACCTCGGCTGGTCCGTACACTGCAGCCAACACACTCGTGTCTCCTTCACGTAAGAACAAAAGAGGACATTGTTCAACAGAAAACAGATCATTAATCCAGGCGGGGAAATTGTGTTTTACCCTGAAAGCAACTGAAGAACAACAGGATACAGAAAAAAGGAATAGAAAGTCTAGATGGGAGAAAAACACAGACGCTGTGATCACTGAAAAAAGAAAAACAGAAATACAGAAAAGTTTATGTGCTGCATTCTGCATTGATGGGTGTTTGGAAGACGTTACATCACTGCTGTTTATTAGTTTTCACTGTGGATGTATTTGTTCTATAGTACACACCAACCAAAGAAGAGCAAACATACAAAACAACATATTCTAGATATAATTAACTGGAAACAAACAGCATTTAGGAAAGTTACATAATTGTAAACAAGCTCAAACAATGTTTGCTGCACATTTCAAATCACAAAACATTTGCACTAGGACTGCAGGATGTGGTAAAAACATCATATTGTGACTATTTATTATAATATCTGTCAAAAACTGGACAAATTGCCACATAATTCATGAGAATTATGGGAAAAAAACTACTAAACTAATGTGTAAAACGTGAAATCAGACACCTTAAATGTGGATATTAAAAGATTCACAGAGCAGAACTTCTGCAGCTCTACAGTACTTCACCATAACGCTGCATTTTAACCTCAAAACACTGCAGCTTTTGCCACTTCCAGAACATTTCCACTAATCGTGCAGCCCTAACATGAGCCCAGAGGACAACTGCCTGCCCTGGGGCAAACAATCCCACACCTGTAACCTCTGTGAGGGTCGGTACCTTGAGTGAAGGAGGCTGAGCCGTCCGGACGAGACAGTAAACTCTGCTCACAACCAAACTCTCTGAGAGAAACAGCCGAGGAGCCGCACACCTCCATCACTGCTGCTGCTGCCGCCACGCTGCTGGTCGCAGGGGGAGTGAGGTCATCTGTTTTGCCCTATTTTTTTGGGGGGCCCTTGCTGATGACGTAGGAACGAGGAAACGCGTCATAATGTATACTTGTTTGTTTTATTTATTACTTGAACTAAACAGACGTGGAGTGATAGTCTCTATTTTTGACCATTAGATAACAAATTAATATGTTTTATTTT